TCAATAACAAGAGCGATGGAAGAGAAATTAAGGCATTTAATATCAGCCTTTGCCTCATTTAAAGAAGAAATGAAATTGGGCCAGGAATCCGTTAAGGACGAAATGAAAGCCGTTCAAGCTGGTCAAGAAGAAATGAAAAGAGAAATTACCTGCATAATAGAAAATAAATTTGAAGCTATGGAAGGCAAAATTGACACAGTTGAAAATTGGTTGTTGGACAAATTGAAGAAAAAGTTTCTTCCGTAAAAGATCAAATTGAAGAAAGAGTTTCTTCGGTGAAAGAAGAAATAGAAGAAAGAGTTTCTTCTGTAAAAGAACATATAGAAGGAAGAGTTTGTGCCGTTCAACACCAAATCGAACAACAAATTGATGATAGGGTTTCTGCAGTAGCCAAAGAAGTGGATATTTTAAAGAAATTCGTAGCGACGGCAGGGAACAATAGTGATGGTTTTAAATTTTTACCCATGCCTGCTCGTCCCTCTCTGAAGTTATCCACTTATGATGGGAAGACCTCCTGGCAAGTGTATAAAACACAATTTTCTATAGTGGCGGATGCGAATGGATGGGATTCTCAAGCTAAGGCCTGTCATCTTACCGCTTCTTTGAGAGCAGACGCAGCGGATATCCTGCAGACTCTTCCCGAAAACCAGAGACTAGACTTTGAAGCTCTATCCGAGGCATTGGAGCTGCGCTTTGGAGAGAAGTGTTTAAAAGACTACAGCAGGCTTCAAATAAAATCCGTCAGCAGAAGCCTTCCGAAACACTCAGGAACTCGCCCGGATGTTGAAAGGCCTGTCACATCACGCCTTTTCGGAGTGCCTGACAGAAACAAGAGAAATTCCTGTCACTGCAATATTTCATCAGATTGGCCTCTGGGACCCTGAAATACAGAAAGCACTGCGAATGGTGGATGTTAAAAGATTTGAAAAGCGCTCTGTTGTACGCCATGAAGTTCGAGGCAGCACCAGAAAGCAACTAGTATAGATCGCTACCCAGTCAGAGCTGTGAGAGTCCACGAGCCAGTGGATCAACTGATGGCTCGTTTAGATGATTTATCCAGATAATTTGACGCTTTGATACGGAGTAGGAGCGAGAACAAAGTGGCTCTAAGGTGTTGGAGATGTGGTAGTGTGAAGGTCACCTAAGACGGAATTGAGAGAACACCCCAGGGTACGGAATATAAGCAGATGATTTTACCAGACAAGTCAGTGGCTTGAGACGGAACAGAAGTGGAAAGAAAGTAGTTCTAAAAGTGCGGAACTGCGGAGTTGAAGGCCACATACGAAGAAACTGCAGAACACCCCGAGGTACGGAAATAAGACCATTTCCCAGCAACGAAGCAGTAAACAAATTAGTGACCATATCGAGGAACGGAGGTTGCCAGATAATGAAAAACCTTGTTTTAAAGCGCTTAAAATTTATACAGTGAGTGGCAACAGTAACGGACTGTCCATTAATGGGAATATCGATGGAGTTCCTTGCAATATGATCATTGACACAGGAGCTAATGTTACCATCATTAGGAAAGATTTAGCTGAACAGTTTAAAGATAAACTTATTTGGACGCCATCCTGTGTTACCCTTCAGACTGCGTCTGGTGACAAGATCGACATAACTGGGAAGTTAAACGTAAACATCACGTTTGGAAGTGCCGCCTACCATCACACGGCATATGTGGCGGGTAGTTACAGATCCATGCATACTCCAATTGGACTTTTTAAGGAAATATAATTTTTCCTTAGACTTCAATAAACAATAAGCTTTTCTCAGCATCTGAGGACAGTGACGATCCATCTTCAAAAGGGATCATCGCCTGGAAACGCCGACGTCTCATTCGTGTGAAAGACCCTACTCACTAAAGCTGGCCGAAAATCATATTAGGGTCAGAAAAGAACCACCAGACTACCGGCTATTCTCCATCTCAGATGCTCTTCGGTCGAGACCTTTGTCTGCCTTCTGATCCGCCTTGTTTAGGTCGCCCTCCGGTAGTGCCCTACCTTCATCGCCTGAGGAATACATCCAAGATGTCGAGGCCCGGTTTGAAGTGATGCACCGTTCCACACGAAAACGAGTCAACTTGGCGAACGGAGAAAGTGAAGTCCAGATACGAACACGAGAGCTACTGGACATAGATCCAACAAAGGAGACAAGGTGTGGTTGTGGAACCCAATTCAACGAAAAGGACCGAGTCCTAAATTACAGTCACCTTCGGATGACCCATATACAGTGCTGAACACGAATGACGTCGTGGTTTGGATCCGTGAGTCTTCGAACTCTTACGACAGTTAGCTTATTACTATGGCCATAGTACATAAGGTAAATAATTGTAATAGTATCAGACCGTGGTCCTTTTTGTTTTAAAATGTGTATTTGATTTGATTTGTATTTAGTATTTAGTTTGCATTAGTATTTGATTTTGATTTGTTTAAGTTAGTTATTGCATTTATTGTTCATGTTGTTTGATATGTATGTAATGTTTATGCCACAGTTGTAAGTTTAGCTTTCTGTCCAGGGATTGTACTGCCCGGGACGTGCAGTCCTTGGGAAGGGGGCAGTGTTACGAATTTTGGTATTTAAAAAGCTAATGTTAGTTCAATTATAAATTATTATTTCTCGCGCAGTGCAGCGCGTGACGAATATTAAAAGAAAGCTAAGCCGGAAAATTAAAAATACAAGAGCGCGTGCGTTAAATAAATAAATATCTCTTTTTGATTTCGAGAAAGTACTGGAAAATTCTAGCGCGTGATTTTAAAATCTTATAAAAGGAGGAAAACATCTCAGTTGGTAGTAGTTGCTTAGTTTGTTGTTGTTTAGAAAACTACCGTTGTATATTGTAGCGAATTCGCGGATTAGCGTTCTTTAGCTGTTTTGAATTACGTTCTATTGTACATTTGAGTAGTTAAAAGATAACTACTGTGAGATATTGTAATACTGCATGACCAATTTGAGAAAATTTAAGCATTTTTGTTGTGATATAAAAAGTTTTGTTCATTTTTTCATCGGACTTGTGCATTCACTTCAAACGAACCCGTACGCCCGCAACAATTAAAAAAAAAAAAAAAAAAAAAAAAAAAAAAAAACCTGCATTATTTTTCGTACAACACGATCTAATCTCACGTGTATCGTGAGAACGATAAACACGCAGATGATTTATCACGTGAAAATTTAAGCATTTTTGTTGTGATAATAAAAAGTTTTGTTCATTTTTCATCGGACTTGTCCATTCACTTCATAACGAACCCGTACGCACGCAACAATTAAAAAAAAAAACCTGCATTATCTTTCGTACAACACGATCTTACATATAATAAAAGAAAGAGTCTGTCTGTGTGTAGGTCTTTCGTTCGCGCTGCGGAAGCTAGTAAATCCACGGCTACGGAATTTGGTACATAAGTGCATCTAGACAAGAGCCAGTGCACCACGAAGAGTTTTTTTCGAAATTCGAATTAGAATTTTTTTAATTTTATGGTTTGTGACGAAATCGTGTCACTTTGAGACAGAATGGGCTATAGGAAAGCGAGATTTTACTCTACAAACGCCTTTTTCACATCGTCATGAAACGTAGACACTTAGCTATTTTACGAGCTTAAAATAAATTTCGTTTTTTCAATAAATCGATTGAATACGAATTTATTTAACAAAGGGAGCTTAAAACCTTTTCAACGAGATTTTTTTTAAAAAAAGTTATTTTAAAAAATGTAACAGTTTATTTTTTTGATTTTTGGACACGTTAAAATTCATCCTTGCGACTGCTTTTACAAAAAAGAATTTTGGAAAATGATAATATTTTGGTATTTTTAAAATATTTTTAAATGAAGCCTCCGATACACTTCTCACATAGCACATCTTTTTAAAATGTGATTTTGGCAACAATTTCCTGTCTTATTGTTGTTGATAGATTTTTGATGAAATCGCATCATTTTGAATAGTTTCATTCTTTTAGAAATATGGGTTTGGCAACAATTTTTCATCGTATTTCTTACGTCACTGTTTTTAAGAGATTGGCATATTTCATTGTCATTTATATATATATATGTATAATGCATTTTTCTGATTTTTTTTGGATAAAATTGTTCTGCAGAGTAACATTTTGCGCGGAATTTTATGTTTTTTGAGTTGCCGTCATGTTATTTTTTGCTGATTTCACCGTTTGTAAGATATTGAAAAGTTTTGCATGATCTTTCTTTCTTCAACGGAAAGTTGGTTAATTTTTTTATTAGGATAATTAATATTTAATATTTGTATTAAGTTCATTTCATTGTAATTTTTTTCTCTCGAAAATATAAGATAAAATATCATTAATTATACTTTACTTTTTCCAATTTTGTTTTTTTTGTATTCTTTTATGTTATTTATTGCTCATTTCACTTTTTTAAGATATTGAAAAGATTCAGTGATTTTTTTAGGAAACAAAGTTTCTTAACCTCCTTTATTACCATTTGAGTTCTTAAGATTTTGCAAAGTAAAGTTGGTTAATTTATTTATTAGGATAATTAATATTTGTATTAAGGTATATTGCTTATTTCATTGTAATTTTGTTATACGTAATAACTTTTTTTTATGAAGTTGTGCACAGTAAAATTCTACGCAGTTTTTAAATTTAACGTTTGGTGTTCCCTTCAGCCATTTTCCACGTACATTTAAAAGCCAGACGAAGGCTGGCAGCAAAGCTGCTAGTGTTTCTATAAAATGATTGATTAAAATCGAAACCAAGTTACTTGGGGTCTCAACCCCTTACCTGGCGATAATTTTCTGTCACTTACCGACTTTATTTCAGTTTAGAACAATTTTTTCTGTAATAGTTTAATCATATTAACCGAACTGTTGATCACAATAAGCGAAGTATTTTCCATGTTTTCGTGTACAAACGTGCGGGAATTCTGCAATTCGGTAACAATATCCGAATGCTAACATTAACCGCAATCACATAAGGGGCATCCATTGAATATTATACTTGAAAACGTTTTAAAGGCATATTATATACGGTTACTGATACTTACCCATCTTGACAACGAATATCGCTCGGCCTTTATGATCCCTGTGTGGCAAGTAGTTGAAAATATTGGCTTTCAACGCTTTCTCCACTGTGGAAGGCGCTGGAAAGATTGCGGGATGCTTCGCTCTGAACTTGTAATGATCTCTCATGAGCTTGACGGCTCGTTCCAAGTCGAATTTTCTCGTCCTCAAGAAGCGTAGTACGTATATGTCATCAGTACGAGCTACGTAATCCTTTTCCTCTAAAATAAAACAAGAAAAAACAGAAAATTAATTATAAATTAATAGTTTTAATTCCACATTAAGATGTAATAAAAGTACAGTGTAAAACCCGAGACCCGGAATCGTCGGGACATTTTACAGCCCAAAGGGACAACTTGCCCAGGAGGGCTATTAATTAGGTTTTGGCATTTTGCGCCGTCTACTTTAAAACGACGCTTCACTTTTCAAAGTGTTGCCGCCAAATATTATCGCCCTGTATTATATTTAAAGAAATTAAATTGTAGATACATTAGTTGTATTGGAAACAGGCAAGATGAAAAACAGCAAACGCTTTCGCCTGGAATCGATCCACGGACCTCTGGAATACCGGCTTAGCGTGCAGAACCACTACCCCACGAAGGCACGCTAGGAAGGCGGGAGAAATACCTTATATACTCCCCCTTTTAGAGGGCGACTGGGGCTTTTAGCGGACCCAATCGCCAAATCCTGAGTGAGAAGAATCCTGATCCACACCCTTTTAGTTCGGGCGCCACTGTAGAGACATTAGGTTTGTTGGAAGCATGCAAGATGAAAAATAGCAAACGCCTTCGCGTGAAATCGATCCACGGACCTCTGGAATACCGGCCCAGCGTGCAGAACCACTACACCACGAAGGCACGCTAGGAAGGCGGGAGAAATACCTTATATACTCCCAATTAAAAAAAGTGACAGGGATTTTAGGGGACCCAATCGCCAAATCATGGGTGTGAAGCGTCATCACCCATCACCTTTTTAGTTCGGGCGCCATTCTAGAGACATTTGGTATATTTTTGGAACCAGGAAAGATGAAAAACAGCAAACGCCTTCGTCGAGAATCGAACCAAAAACTTCTCGAATACCGGCCCAGCGTGCTGAACCACTACATCACAAAGGCACGCTAGGAAGGCGGGAGAAATACCTTATAAAATAATGAAGAACATTCGTTAATGTATGTATGTTTTTTCGCATTATGAAAAAATGACGATACCTAGAGACATCAAATTTTCAATAACGCTTTGGAATTCGTTTTATTATCTACTTCATATTCTGTAAACCTTTAACGAGTTTTTGATTAACAAACTTAAGGATTTCCAAGCGAGCAATGGCAACACAATACGAAACAAGAAAACATTTTTATCTCCAGCGCTCGAATCTGTGTATCGGAAATTCTAAACGACTTAAGGGGGCTCATGCTCCTTAAACCCCTGATGATCTTCGAATCATGTGACTGTTGCAAGAATTGGGATATTTTATTTATTTGAAAAGCAATTACTTCCAACGTTTTACAGCTGAAAACACAAATATAGCTGCTTTGGAAACAAGTAACCAGAAAGCTTGTGTTGCCACAAATATCTTTGTAATTTAATCCGATTTGTGACAAAATGTTTCGTCATGTTTCCAACTTGCGTGCATGATGTTTTAAAAATGGCTAATGGTACATACTTGAAATTAGATGAAATTCATTATATGGGCACCATTTTCTAACTGAACCAAAAAATCTGAGGAATATTTTAATATTAAAAAATTTTATGCACCAAAACATTACAGATTTTTTGAATAAAATACATTTTATAAACTCAACTCCAAATAAAATAAAAATTTAACATGAAATTCTTAGAATTTTTTGTTCACAGTAGTTTCCAAATGTTATAAAAGCTATATATTAAATATGGAATTACATTACGCGACAGAATGTAACTTTGCACGCAAGGCGGAAACATGGAGAAAAATGTTGTCACAAAGCGGATTAAATTATAAAAATATTTGTAGCAACACAAATTTTCTGATTACTATTTGAGAAAGCAGCTATATTATGTAGCCAGCTAATCATGTATTTTATTAAAAAATCTGTGATGTTTTCGTCCATAAAATTTTTTAATATTAAAATATTCCTCAGATTTTTTGGTTCAGTTAGAAAATGGTGCCCATATAAAGAATTTCAAATAATTCCATTAGCCATTTTTAAAACATCATGCGCGCAAGTTGGAAACATGACGAAATATTTTGTCACAAAGAGGATTATATTACAAAAATATTTGTGGCAACACAAACTTTCTGGTTACTAGTTTCCAAAACAGCTATATTATGTAGCCAGCTGTAAAAGGTTGGAAGTAATTGCTTTTAAAATAAATAAGTTATCCCAATTCTTGCAATAGGCACGTAATCGAAGATCTTATGGGTTTTAAGGTGTATGAGTCCCCTTAAGGAATCCTAGTTTAAAAGTTGATATGGAAACGTAGGACTGTAAAATTCAGACTCTTATACTTACCGTACTTATTTGTACATTTAAATTAAAATTAACTTTGCCTGTGTACAAATCCAAATGTTGACAATATCATTTAAAATGTTATTAATTATATTCTAATTGTATATATTAAGTAACTTTTACTTTGTAACTATTGATTCTTATTTTAAGTTTTGCATATTATTCTGTAGTTTACTATATTTATTGTTCCTACATATTTGTCTTAACCGCGTCGGAGAGTTTCTTTCACATTTATTGAAATTCAAAAAATATATTACTTTGCATTGTTTTTTTGGCATAGGAGTACTGTTTAAAAATGCGAGAGTGGCGAAACGCGGTCAGATTGAATTGTTGGTAATTTTATGGAGAAAGACTAATTCTCCTTGGAAAGTCAGGATCTTTCAGTCAGTCTCTCTTAAAATATTTTTAGTCCAAAGGGGCAATTTGCCCTGAAGTACTATTAATTTCGTTTTGGCATTTTGCGCTGTCCAATTTAAAACAACGTTCCACTTTTCGAATTGTTGCCACCAAATATCAGAGCCCTGCATTATATTTAAAGAAATGAAATAATGAAGAATCTGCATGAATGTATGTACGTCTTTGTGACAAAACACAGACATCTGCATTATATTTAAAGAGTTAGTTTTCAGTTTACTTTGAGACATCAATTTTTGAATAACGTAGTCCTGCACAGAATATGGGCATCTAGAAGACAAATTTGAATTCGTTTTATTATCTGTTTCATATTTTGTAAAAAGTTAACGCATTTTTTATTAACAAACTCAGGGATGTCCAAGCGAGCAGCAACACTGTACGAAAAAAAAGTTTTTATCTCCAGCGCGTGAGACTGTGTATCGGAAATTCTAAAGATATGCTCTTTTTAAATATCTTATGATATTGCTGTTGAATTGAATTTTATGGTTTAAGTGCGAAGAACATGCTATTTAATAAATAAAGGTAACGCGCAAAACGTTACAGAAACGCCCCTTTTTGGGCGTAATATTAAATCAGAATGCTTGCAGATTTTTTTTATTATTATTTTTAGTTTTTATTTTATCATTTAAGTTAGACCATTAGTTTGAATCTAGTAAGACAACATGTAGAGTTTGAATCTAGTAAGACAACATGTAGAGTTTGAATGTAGTAAGATAACAGCAGCCAGATGTCGGAATTCCTTGATGGCAAGAATTTTAGAATTTAGAAAAGAACTAAGCAGCAAAAATTGGAGACGGGTAAATTTTTAGAATTAAGGAGAGGCACTGGACAGTGGAATTTAGGACCCGCAGCGACGGCACCGGGTGGCAAAACGCGTAGCATCACCCTTCGACAACCACTCGTGTGATCACTGCCTATTCATCCTTCGACAACCACTCGTGTGGTCACTGCCTATTTTAGTACAACGTCAAACAATGTATTATTATCGACCACGATGCAACTCCCTTGTTCGATCGCTTACTTTAGTTCCCCTCGGGAGTCGACCGAGGCGGGCAACTTTCGGCGTTCTGGCTAGGAACTGTACCTGGACACACTCGGCTTCTGGAGTAAATAATCAGTTACCACAGTGACCTAGAACCAGCGGTTTTTTTGATGGTAGTTTTCTAGACCGTATTGGTATTGTCTTGTCTGACCTTTGCTTGTGGGTCAAACAAGAAAATACCAGTACCAATTACCAAGGACCAGGAAGGGTATTGAACATTTTTCACATCCCGAGTTTCAAAATAACCTAGTGACTCTACAGTGGCTTCCAGAACTGAAAGGTGGTGGATGATTATTTTTCACGAGCAGGATTTAGGGAATGGATCCCCTAATCCCCAGTCGCACTTTAAAAGGGGGATTGTTTAAGGTACTTTCTTCCTCCTTTCTGCATGCCTTCGTGGTGTAACGGTAGCACAATCGACGCGCATTCGAGAGATCCAGGCTCGATTCCCGACGAGGGCGTGGCTCATTTTTCATCTTTTCAGCATAAAAAAATCCTAATGGCTCTACAAAGGTTCTGACTTTTTGGCAAATTTCATAAAATTTAATGGTAGTGATAGAAACGGTTTAAGACTATTCCTTTTTGAATAATTATGACTTGGGTTTTATTTTCATAAATAATATAAAAAAAATCTGATGTGTACACCACATGACTTCCTTGTACGGAATATTAAATTATACGCATTTTTTCTTGCATTTCATTTAAACTTATTGGATTGAATTAAATCTACTTTGCCGACAGCGCATAAACCACAATAGAATAAATGCATTCTTTAAAATTCACTCTAGTATTTGTTTACCATAGCGACACTCTGGCGCTAGATTCACTTAACAGTATTATATTTCGTTCATAGTATAACTCATAATGCACAAAATTTATATAATTTAAAGAATACAATTATCTAATCGTTGCCACATATTCTATTCAAATACTATAATAAAGCTAAAACGATGTACAAAAAGAAATTAAACCAAAAAAAAAAAAAAGAAAAGAAAAGAAAAGAAACAACTTTTTCACAGACGATTGAGTATTTCTTCATTCAATTAATTCAGTTCTCACTTCGCGAGAAAGAAAAAATACAAAAAAAATGCAAAATCTATATTAAAAACTCGAAGTAAATCTTAAACACTTATTTCCTCGAAAAAATTTCCAGAATAGGATTAAGCATGATTTAATTCACAATGATAAATGAAGGCGTTATCTTTGTTGTTGCGGAAGCTTACGTTTCTCTAGATTGGCCGACAAATCCACTAGTTCTGCTAAGTTTCAAATTTAAACAA